GTAAATGAGATTACTGCTGTGCATATTTTTGGGTATTGGTTGGTGTTCTATTCCTCGTATTTGTCCTTGATTTTGTTTCATAGATTTGTTCTGATTTATATTTTATATTGATTTTGGTAGATTAAGCTTAGATTTTTATGTAAAAGTAGAGTCTAGATACTAGACCAACCGACCAGACCTCTCATCTGCTCCTCTTAGTTTTAGACCTTAGAGCGTACATAAGAAGCTAAAGCGATCTTTGAGATAACAATGAGTGAGATGATTGATATAAAATAGAGAAAAGGTATGAGCATTCCATCACATTATTAACTACTCACACAGTGTCGCCGTCCTGACCCGCCCGCTGTCTGCCCCAAGGTTCAATGCTCACGCAGTCTCGTATTTGTACGTACATGCTGGCGTAATAAAGATGCGAGAAAAATGTTTTGCAAACTGGCATATGTCTGTGTACTAGTTTATACTTTTGGCATAGAGTTTTCAGCTCTCTTTCCATAGAATAAGGTTTTTTTTAAAGACAACTGCCGCATTAGGAATGTATCCTGTGTCGCGGGGCACTTTACAAACATACATGAAACGGACACGAAGAACACCCAGACTCAGAACAACAATTTGTGGATCACACAAAGTGTCGTCCCATGTGGGGTTTGAACCCACAACACTAGGTGTAGTAGGAAGCAGCGTGGCGACCGCTTAAACCACTACGCCATCCGTTCTTATTCGTTCTGGGGAAATCTTATTACATTAATGAAAAAAAGCTTTAAATGTGCAAAGCATTGTTCCTCCAATCTGACTTGGCCCTAAAGCGAAACACAATGCAAAAAATATTCGCACCTACCCACACTTATTTAGCCTATAAAACCTTTATATTTTCCCCAAAATTTCCCTACTTAAGCCACCCTTGACTAGTTATCATCCAGATTGTTTCGTTTCCCAAAATATGTGGTAAATTGAAGCGAGCTCGCCAAATTTGCGTTGATTTCTTTATCCCGGCCTGTAGGACGTGACCTGCCCGAGGTGAATTCAAATAAGTTGGACGAGTATGGCCTGATATACAGCGGGCGGAGGCGTATAACTAACTACAACGAGGTACAACTCTGACTATATCAGAAATAGTTTATAACGCAGTGCTTTTTTTGTTCTTTTTAAAAAAAGACAACTCACGGGAACTTCACAAACATATATGAAACGGACACAAAGAACACCCAGACACAGAACGGCAATTTGTGGATTACACAAAGTGTCGTCCCATGTAGGGATCGAACCCACATTATTCAGAGTAGTAGAAAACAGCGACCGCTTAAACCACTACGCCATCCACACAACGATATAATATAGTTATAATTTCGTTGTTTTTTCATTTCGTTAAGTTAATTAATATTTTTGTACTGAAGGCCTATCTCTCAAACTCTTGCCTTTTGTTTAAAAAAAAGGCATTGGGCTATTTTATTCAAACTTTTTGGTTAATAAATAAAAAAATATTTTTAGAGATTCATCATCATCATCAACAGCCTATAATAGTCCACTGCTGGACACAGGCCTCTCCTTAGAAAGGAGGTTTTGGCCTACTATACCACGCTGGCCAAACGGGTTGGTATAGGGTCTGTGTCAAGTTTTCCTTCTCTCTGCAGTGCTGTTGTCCTGCTTAGTTTGCTCCCATAGTCGGCTCTTACGACAACCACGGGATGAATTGGGATGGTGACACTCCGTATTCTTAATCCGTCACCAAATAGTACTGAACTATAAATTTCTATGATGTAACCCTAAAATTAGAAATCTAATTTTATAAATACGAGTATAAATTCGTTTGTTATGTTTTAAAGTCTTATTTACTGAAGCAATACCCGTTGTTAGAAGTACCTACAGAAAAGAAGAAGCACTATACTACACTAAGCACCTTGAATTATAATAAAAAATTAAAGCTTCGCGAAACGTATGGCAGATGTGAAACATCGAAATTGTTATACGAGTACTAGCTGACCCGGCAAACGTTGTATTGCAAAACAAAAAAAAAATAGGGATGGGTCACCCTTACCATTTAGGGGTATGAAAAATAGATGTTAGCCGATTCTCAGACCTACCCGATGTGAACACAAAATTTCATGAGAATCGGTCAAGCCGTTTCGGAGGAGTACGGGAACGAACATTGTGACACGAGAATTTTATTTATAAGAAGATTATCGAATTGGATAGCTAAGAAAAATGAATGCCAGTATAATTATAATTGTGAGACAGTAATATGTCCAAAACGCGGTTGTACCCAAGATTTGGAAATGGTCTGGTCTGCATACGTCATGAATTATAGGCGAGTCCCTTATAGGCCTTTTTTCTAAACGGCGCGCGGCCCATTTTACCGCTTACCGCGTTTAATGCGACCACAGCCAATGCCTCATTTCGGCATTATATTCCCACCGCCACTGAGCCAGAGTATAGATGACCTTTTTATCACGGAGGTACCCGGTCAGAATTGCCTTTTAAATCCGTCAAAGGGCTTTTGAAGTATGACAGTGTAGTTTAGTACTTAGTGTGGCCGCTTTATTCAAAACCACTTTGATGGTTTTATGAAACAAATCTTTTTTTTTTTGTTTATACAGTTTTAAGGTTTGGGTGAGTTTAGTTTCGGAGCTTTCCTGTAAGAAGATTGTTAATGTTTTTCTTGATTTGCTAAGTTTTTATCTTTTTGAATGTGAACTTTTGACTTTTGTCACCTGGGAGTCATTTAATGTTGTCAATATGTCGAGAAAAAGTAGTGTAAAGATGGACTGCCGTAAATACCTGTAGGTGTATACCTGATTAAAGCTATGTATTAATGTTTTACCTATATCGTATCGATTTTTGAGATTTTGTTTTATTTTTGGAACGAAGTTCCTTATCGGGCGTCGTGAAAAGGGGCTAGACGGAAAAAATTATGTTTGTTGTGTAACGACACTTTTTATGTCAGTCATTCAGCGCCATCTATCGATTAGATAGGAAATCTTTACTTTTTATCTCAGTATTTATTTTGAATTGTCACTTGTCAGTCATTCAGCGCCATCTATCGAATAGATAGGAAATCATTTCTCAAGGAGATTTTACCAATGTATAAATTGTTTTAATTAGAAACCAACTGAAAAATATGTAGGTAATAGCCGCTTTCATAGATGGCGTTGTAATTAAAATCGTGTCGAATCAGTTTTACTCGAATTTTCGAAAACTTTTCAAGTGATTGCCTTGAATTGGGTTAAATGTTAGAATGCGTTACCGGTACTGATATATGCATCTGTGCATCTATCCCAGTAGACTTTTAAATGAAAACCCTTTTTGGCCTGTATGTCATTTATAATTGAACCTTGAACAATTTTGTGAATATGGATTTGTAGCTTTTAAGATAAGACTAGCTGTACCCGGTATGCATTGCAATACCACGCTTAAAGGATAAAGAAATAACGAAAAAAATCATCTAATATATAAAATTTTCATGTCACGGTGTGCGTGGTTGAACCCCTCCGAAACGGCTAAACCGATTTTCGTAAAATAGGGTGTGCATATCGGGTAGGTCTGAGAATCGGGCAACATCTATTTTTCATAACCCAATTCTTTATTTTTTGACAATATTTTTTAAAATAATGTATGGCAAAACAACGTTTGCCGGGTCAGCTAGTTTATATATAGATTTTTGGCCAGGAACCCTCCCAGGCGACCCTAGCACACCTTACCAAAGTTTCACCAGTAGCACACTAATCACAGGACGGATGTTAGCACAGGCACATGACTCTAGGCTATTAAAGCCACCAGAATATCAGTCCCGTTTTCTGTCCGAGATTCCTCACCCCAATTTTTCTTCGTCCTTTGTTCTGTAAATTATTAGAATCAAAAAAAGAGTGGCTGTAAAACAACCAACCGGACATAAAAGTATTAATAAAAATGGTTTGCAATGTTACACAAGGTGTCGATCCTAAATAAAATTAATTAAATGGTGGGAAGGTCATGATGACGAAGGCAAACATTTCGGAAGCCACTGAACCTACATTAATGAAACAGGGAAGTCAGCATGACTGAAACCAGCTAATATATTTCAATGATGTTCATGGAATCCATAAATTAATACGTGAATAAATATTTTTACTTTCAAACAAATGTGACGCACACAAAAACATATTACATTTAGATATAATTAATGTTAAATCATCCATGTGGTGACGCAGGATTAAGAATACAAAGTGTCACCACCCTTATTCATCCCATGGGTGTCGTAGGAGCCGACTAAAGGAGAAGACTACGCAGAACAACAGCACTGCAGAGAGAAGGAAAACTTGACACAAACCTTATGCCAACCCGTCTGGCCAGCGTGGTATAGTAGACCAAAACCTCCTTTCTAAGTAGAGGCTTATGTCTAGCAATGGATTATTAGAGGCTGTTGATGATGATGAATTTTAAAATGTAAAAGAAGTACACAAAATTTTAAAATAATATGTGCTGTGACGTCAATAATTCTGTGAAATAGACTAGTCCAGTTTATATTTCACACATTATGTTATAGCACAAAAGCCTATGTAATAATAATTCAAGTTATACTGGTCTTTGAAATAAATGAGACATTCTAAATGGTTGAAATTTATACTGCGATGTCTATTCTAAGAAACTTGGGAGTCCATCTTTAAAAGTTGAATCAAAATGAGTACATATTTAAAAAGTATTTTCGTAGTAAAGTATTAAACATTCAACGTTGACTGTAATGTGATTATATCGTATTGTAATCGAAAATTGAATCGGTAATCTGATAGTCTTAGTAATACTCGTACTTTGCTATTTTACTTCGAAAATACCTTTCATGACAGAACTGAATTGTGACCGAACTTTTATTACGAGAATTGACCTTCTGTTTAGAATTTACAATTAGGATAATTAAGGTATTCTTTTTATGCATTACATTCATTGGGAACCTAAAATATGATAACTCCCTTTGAAAATTTGTAAATTATGTGTAATACTAACCTTATTAAATTTCTTTAATTTTTCCGCAGATCAACTCAGAAATGACTCAGCAGATAGTGGCAGCGCATCAACAGGAAGCTCTCAAGAAGAAGTAGAAGAACCAAAAGCCTACATGAGAACACCAGCAGTTGGTGGCGTAGCCGTCAGAGCAGGTGAAGATGCGCTCCTGACCTGTGTAGTTCTTGGAGGTAGAGGCAGGCCGGTGTTGTGGAGAAGAGCAAAAGATCTGCAGCTATTGACGGCTGGTGGGGTGAGAGTCACGAGAGATGATAGAGTCAATGTACTGCATGATGACGGTAAGTAATTTTGTTACATAAATTGTACATAATTTTTGAGTTATTTTTTAAAGAAGACTATGTTTACAAGTGTTCTTGTAACCATTAGTATCCAGGTATGATGAAATGGTGCAAATTTTTAACCATGTACCGTTTGAAATTAAATTTATGTGTGTGAAAAAAGGGGAGGCACAAAATCCCCTCGGATACCCCCAACGGATGGTCGGTAGGGTGGTTATGACGTGTCTCCTATTCGCACTTGACCATATCTGTTATAGGAAATACAAGTTTTTTTCTCATCTATTTTTAATATAGTTTGAAAGTAGAAGAACCAAAGAGTATATAGGTAAAAGTGTTGCCTTTATGAATAAAGCGGTTAGCTTTTGTTAATTCTCTTCTTTAAACCTAAAGCGTGTTTTATTCTTGAGGTTGTTGTCTATGGTCCCCGAGGAATTACATTTACATAATATAGTAGTTGACACACAACGGAGTCACCATTTTGTGATATCCTTGTTTTAAAGTATCAATTAATGTGGTAAAGAAATTTATATAATTTTCTTTTTGTATTACGTTGTAATTCATACCCAGAAGTAATTCATACCTAGAAGTAGTTGACTGTATAGGAGATACAGTCAATTAACTTCTAATAGCGGTTTTACTAAGAGCAAAGTCCAAAATCGTTTTAAAACCTTTTTAAAGGTGTACAAGTTTCGAAATCTATTGTTAAATTAAATTTTAAAGGAATTTGAACTGGTTTAACTAGTGATTAGCATATTGCGATGAAAATACAGTTTGGTTGGCAATATACACTGGTCAGCAAATAAACCGAGCCACCCGCTACCTAGGAACTCTGATTCGATTTTCTCAAAAAGTATAAAACTTACAACTATCAAAGTTATACCTACAAAAAGTGCGTTTCATGGTGATTAAAATGACTAAAAATTAATTCGAAAGTACCGTCAACTCACATTGTAATCAAGCAACAAACACAATGCTAACGATTTGCTCTGTTTGCACCAGAGTTTGAAATTAGCGTTCTTTTTCTCTACAATGAGGGTAGTCGGATATTTCTTATCATTTCTTTAGTTTTTGTCCATCGTTTGCTCAGACGCGTGTGTTTTTGCTACTTTTTTCGATTAATAATGGATACAACACCTCAGGAAGCAGCTCAAGCTGTAGCATTACTTCAAGCAGGCATTGCGCAACGTGAAGTCGCTCGAAGGCTTCGAATCAGCAGATCTTCGGTGCAACGAGTTTACAGACGATACCTAGAGACTGGAGCATTCGATCGCCGTCCAGGTACGGGCAGACCTAGGGCTACATCAGCAGCAGATGATCGTTATATCCACCTTACTGTTCTGCGAAATCGCCACCTCAACGCAGTTCAAGTCCAACAAAGTCTGCGTGACGAACGCCAAGTGGTCATAAGTTCAGATACCATCAGAAGGAGACTTGCTGAACGGAACCTGACCCCAAAAAGAGCTGCAACAAGCCCAGCATTAACGGTAGCTCACCGTCGAGCACGACTTGAATTTGCTCGAGAGCATAGGGATTGGACATTAGAGCAGTGGAGTAATGTACTCTTCACTGATGAGACCAGGGTGAGTCTACATGGAAGTGATCGACGTCAGAGAGTATATCGTCGCCCTGGAGAACGTTATTCTCAGTGTTGCATCGAGGAAACTGTTGCTTATGTAGGAGGATCTGTAATGGTCTGGGGCGGCATCTCGTTAACAGCACATACAGCGTTAGTTTTCATCGAACCGACGGGCCGTACACGTGGACTGACTTCTCATCGCTACATTACTGAAATCCTCGCAGACCATGTGGTACCTTACGCAGGATATATCGGACAGGATATGCAATTGATGCATGATAATGCACGGCCTCATGTTGCTCATGTGGTGACCCAGTAGCTACGCGACGTCAGCATTCGTACGATGGACTGGCCAGCTCGAAGCCCGGACTTGAATCCGATAGAACACTTATGGTATGAGCTGAAACGTCGGGTTCGAGCCCGGGTACCTGCTCAAACAAGGCTTCCAGAGCTGCGAATCGCAATTGAAGAGGAGTGGAATACAATTCCTCAAGATTTTATCGTCAGGCTCGTAAGGTCGATGAATACAAGGATGCTGGCAGTTTTCCGAGCAAGGGGAGGGAATACGGAATATTGATCAAAACCTTTTTTTTGATTTTATCTTAGTTTTTGGTTTTAATTTTTTTTTTCACTTTATCATTACTAACGATTGTCACGACTGGAAAAATACTCTTCTTTGTAAAATCCTTAATAAACACTGAAATATTGATTAAACCCAATAAGTTTCCTTTCATTTTAATCACCATGAAACGCACTTTCTGTAGGTACAACTTTGTTAATTGTAGGTTTTTTAGTTTTTGAGAAAATCGAATTAGAGTGCCTAGGTAGCGGGTGGCTCGGTTTATTTGCTGTCCAGTGTATATATTTATTTACCAACTTACCCGATACAAGTGTAAAAGAACTATCACTTCGTGGCTGAAGTCACACATCGTCTTAATTACGAGGAAACTGAAAATCTACTCAATGTGCCAACATAATTTCTTGGGTATTCGTGTTAGTACTAAAATCGATGAAGAGCTTATACATACAATCATACACACACATAATCACAAACACTCACACATACACATACTCTCTCTCTCACACACACACACACACACACACACACACACTCATACACACACATACGCATACAATCGTACACACACACACACACTCACACTCATACACACACATACGCATACAATCGTACACACACACACTCACACACACGCTCACTCTGATAATCTGTAATACAGGTCTCCTCCTAGTGCAGATTTGAGTCTCCAACACAAAATATTAACTAATGCTTTACATACTGTTTTTAAACTATGAGAGAGAAAATATTAAAGTTAAAGTTAAGCGTAGGGGTGTCATGCCGCCCCACTACAATTTTGTTATCGTTTAGGGGGCAAATGATCAGGCGGGTCACCAGATGATAAGTGATTACAGCTCATCTAACTTAAGAAGTACCGTTTGATGTTTCATACTTTTTAAGCCGAAACAACTTTGTGTAGGCGTAACCACGGAGCAAATGAGTGTAACTCACATAATTTCAATAACCTTTGCCGTAAAATAATGGAATATTAAAATTAGTTTTATTTTATCACATGATGTACAATTCTAACAAAACATAATAACCAATATATACAATAGATAGCTTTTTTTGGATTTCGTTTGAAATGACGTTATTAGGTATTTTATCGTAGTGTTGTTACAGTTCAAATTCACTAGAAACGGTACAAAAGAATTATTTACCACCAGTTATCTGGTCCGGTTTTACTCATATACAGTTACTCATGTAAAACCGAACTCTTGTAAAACCGAATGCAAAAATATAATTCAAAAATGGTTACTGAAGCTTAGTTACTCAGAAACAGAAAAAATCTTAGATGTAAGAATATAGATTAATATGTACATTACGTATACGTATGAGTTTGTATATGTATAGTTATGCATATGTTACACTCCTGACATTAAACTTTGTATATCACTATAGGTATTACTTAATTTATAACACATTTATTTATGCTTATTATTTATACACCTATCTACATACAACGGACGAAAATTTAAGCAAAATTGATACTCTATAAAAAATACCAGTCCTAACCATCCTCGCACACACACTACATACACACACACACACACACACACACCCACACACCAGACGCCCATACACACACACACACACACACACTCACACTCACAGCGCAACCATTCGTATATATATTTTTAATGCAAAATCTTTTTACTGTTTACTCATTCACGCACTCTAGTACGCTTTTGACATGTTGACAAATCTGCTAAGTGTTATATAATGGGGGGCCTGGAGATCTATAGTACAGGCCTCGGCTTAGTTTAGACTCCAGACCCCCCCTCCAATTGCAAATTTCTTGTCAATTTTCCTGTCAACTGTTAAATATAAAACAAAATGTAATTTGTGGAGATGAAATAAACATTTTTATTATTATTATTATTACTCATATACGTGCTCTAGTATGACTCTCTCAGACTTAAAACATAAAACAACTTTACAAGCAATTTAAAATACTTGATCTCAAAAACTGACTTCGTAAGCCAACCATAGACTAAATATATTACTTCTCCGTCGACAGTCAGAAAATTTGCAATTGTAATTTTGCATCAACTAGCTACACTTTGTCTATTCTCTATTTATTTTGTTTATGCTGACAGTGGGGGCACTAAAGCAACACTATTCACTATCTTATACAATCGCATAATCTAAACTAATGCACCAACAGCTAATTTAAATTCGCGCGTTGGTAAATTTTGAGTATACTTTTTTTTTCAATAATCAGCTGGTTAAAGTTTTTGGAGGGAAGAACTTAGAACAAGAAGTCTTTTTGTAGGCTTACTATATAGGTTTTTTTTATATCTACAACTGACTGGCTGGCTGATTGATTTATTTATTTTTTTAAGTACAACTCCCGCATTAGGAATATATCCTGTGTCGCGGGGGACTTTACAAACATACATGAAACGGACACAAAGAACACTCAGACTCAGAACAACTATTTGTGGATCACACAAAGTGTCCGATGTGGGGTTTGAACCCACAACACTCGGCGTAGTAGGAAGCGGCGTGGCGACCGCTTAAACCACTACGTCATACGTGCAGTCGTCGATTGATTGCACGGATGGCGTAGCTTTTTCAGCTGTCACCTTGCTGCTTTCTACTGCGCTGAGTGTTGTGGGTTCTACAAATAAGAACGCTTTCTTTTTTGTCAAACAGTTCGAGTATCCTACAGAAAAAATGGGCTCAAATCCTATGTTTCAAGACACTAAAAATTCTTCTTCTACTTTTCTTTAAAAGACAACGGAATATATCCTGTGTGACTTTACAGACATACGTGTAACGGACACAGAAAACACCCAAACTCAGAACAACAATTTGGGGATCACACAAAGTGTTGTCCCATGTGATAAGGTGACCGCCTAAACCACAACGCCATCCGTACAGTAAAAATACGTAGAAATATAAAATACTTCATGAAATCACAATAAGATTCTCTAATTTTAGCGGAGGAACCTCTACCGGGTCCAGGCATAGCAAAAGGCGGGGACGTTTGGGCTTTGGTCATCAAATCTGTGAAGACCACGGACGCTGGTCTGTACATGTGCGAGCTGAACACTGAACCACCCGTCAGGAGTTTTCATAGACTCACAGGTAAGAATCTAGCATAACTTTAAAAAGATAAGTAAAGTTTTTTTTTTAATGTTTCCTTATTTCGTACTTTAGCAAATTTTTGGACAAGGTTAAATAAAAACTACCGGATCCAAATTTGATTTCAATCCATCATTCTTCTTATTTCTTCGATACATTTTCTAAGTTCTGTGCTAACACCATGAAAAGAGAATGGAATGTCAATTTTGAATATGTACTCTGTAGTATGTAGTTCTGAATTATTACTTTTGAAATTAGCATTATCTTGTACGTATAATATGAATGTGTTATTAAAAAAGTATCTTAATGTAATTATCTGTATTCTGGAACCCATAGTAACGATGAATGATACATCTAAAAACAATATATTATTTCAACTTGGCAACAATCTGAATTAATAAGAAAATCGGGAAGCCATTGGATACGGGCAGCACAAGACCGATTATTGTGGAGTAGTGGACGTCTTTCGGCTGAGATGATGATGATAAATCTGGAATGAACCTAAAACGCTTTCCCAGAAGGCAGACCAACTTCAGTAGACAAAAATTCAGTAGGCAATCTTGAAACATTTTTTTCTTTCTAGTGATCTCCCGAGGTCTGACTCCACCGGAGAATAACAACGTGACGGACAGTTACTCAGCCCACGTGCCCACGCTTTCTTCTATGGCACTCTCCCACAACTACACTGACTGCTGTATAGCTGGTAACGTCACCAAGAGTTGCCTTGGTTTCTGTAGTATACAGACCATTCTCGAAGGAACTGGTCAAGATCCAGAGACGTGCCAGCCAGACTTTCCAGCTATCGTCAAGTAAGTTTTATTTATACTTTTATTGGTAACAGTCAACTTGGGTAAAGTCTTCTATAGTTCGTTGTTTCACTCAGTTTTTCATCTATATGCAGTATGTCCCAACTATTTTTTGAACTCATTGATCTATCTGGCTAGCAAGAAACGTGGAATGTCGGAAAACTAAATCTTTGTCCAATGGCATTTCTTGCTTGTTCAGGTTATGTATTTATAAATACTAAGAAGGCGGTTGATGTAGTCATGGGATGGGCATATGGGTACACATATTTCTAGCTACGCGCCGTCTATATTCCTGACAGCATTTTACCTTCATCTTGGCCTGAAACCGATTACATCCTCAAGATCGATTAACGATCCACCTTTGAAGTGTGGCACCTCGCGCCGAAACCAAATAAAATTGAGGAACATTGTATACATATATTATAATTTATTTTAGTCCTTGATAAATGGCGTATCCTGGAACCTTTTTATATTATAAACGGTTTTTCTTTCATCAGGTGTATGGCAGATGGTAGGAACCATGTGCCCTGCTGCGTCCAAGAGCGAGTGCCTGACATCTGTCAAGATGTTTGCCGTGGCGAATTTACTCCTGTAACTGATAATATTAAGACCCATTATTCCTGCTCATCTTATATGGAGAAGACACTGGCGTGTATTGTTGAAGGCATTGGTAAGACATCGACAATTATAAATAGACTTGATAGTGTAGATTATAATAATACTCTTTTGGTGAGTTTTACAATAAAGACAGATATAGGTAGAGATAGATATAGGTAGAGATAGGATCTTGGAGAAGAACATAGGCTCTCAAACTCAAACTCTCTTTATTTCATTAAAATTTTAATATTGTTTGAAATCGTCTTTTATGTAGACTCTAAAGTCAGAGATCAATACACACAAAAGCAACAATCTCTGTTTTGTCAAATAGTAAGCAAATAAACTTAACAAAAAACAGACCCATACAAAATCTATGATCTGCCTGTGCCGATCTACAACCTCCCGTTTCCAAGGGGTTGAACCTTATGAGAAGAAAGGGCAAACAAACTCTACTAAGTAGTTAAATCCTGCTATTCAGCCTTCATAGCTATCTTTATAGGTATCCCACTATTTAATCTGGTTACTCCACCGAAGTAAAACTTTAATCTCTCTTATATTATCTCGTGTTATAAATCTCCTGATAAATGAATACTATTATTAGTATTGTACAAATTCTGTTTAAACTTTGTACAATTTTATTATTATGTTCAGTTCAGTTTACTATTATGTTCAGCTGCAGAACAAAACCCGAATCCCAGCTAATTCACCTATCTGCAAATCAGCACGAGATCCACTGATACCGTCATCATTTTCTTAAATCTAAAGCATCTTAACATTATCTTCTTTACAGAACTCCTTCCAAGTCCACCAGAAGAAGTCGAAGTGGAACCTCTGAACGAGAAACAGTTAAACGTCACGTGGGCTCCACCAGTGGAAAATGCAGACTCAGTCATAGAATATGTAGTCAACGTTACCACGCTTAGGTCTTTTGATGCCCATCTCATAGACCTTTCAGAGAGTTCCATAAAAATCAATGACTCTGTGAGGAGTGGAATGTCCACAACGTACAAAGTACCATCAAATAGGAGCTTCATCGTTCTTAGTGATTTATTCCCTTTTACCATGTATGAAGTTCATGTTACGTCATTTAATATTCACGGATCCAGTTTACCCAGCTATGGGGTCAGGTAAATAATGTTAATTTTATCATCTAATACTAAAATGACATTTTAATCGACTTCGAACAGGAAGTTCTGAATTCAACTGAATATTGGTATTTCTTTTTCGACATTTGTCTTAGATTACGATAGTAAATATAACAAAACACTAAAGAACATAAAAACTACAATGCTATAGAATAGTACGTATACAAGTTTTTTTTTTAATAATAATAATTTATTTATTTCGCAAGAAAGAATTACTGAAACACATTTCGTATCTTAAAATGGTACATAATCATTGAAACTATGACATCCAAACCAGGTGTTTACCAGTGTTTTGGACGGCAGTTTTCTGCCAAGGCCGCTATTGACAATATTATCACCATTTAGTTTATAAATTAGATAATATTATGGTACTGTTTCATAACTTTACCATGTCAGTAAGTAGGTTTTTAGTGAATAGTGGAACGGGTCCGATACCTTTGATACTGTGTACCGATGTGGTCCGTTGGTGGTTAGTAATCCTGACTGCTTAGCCAGAGGTTCGATTCCCACCCAGGACTAATAACAATAAATAACAATAATAATATTGTACCACATTCACACAACGCCATCTAATCCCAAACTAAGCAGAGCTTGTACTATGGTTACTAGACAACTGATATTATATATTGAAAGACCCCGACCAAGTCAAACATTAAACGTTCATGCACACAAATGTTGGACTTGAGCGGGAATCGAACCTGCGACCTTTGGAATAGCAGTCCGTTACACAAACCACTACGCCATCCGGCAGTCAACTAATAATTGCGTGATAAGCACGATCATTTGTTCTGTGTCTGTGTGTATTTAGAAATATATATAGTAAGTAAGTATGTATGTATTAAAAATATATGAGTATGTTTATCAGCAGTCAGGTTACCATAGCACACCGAGGCCTTGTTCTTCCACGGGCTTCGGAGGAAGCCGTCTGAGGGATCTAGCCTCACGGTAGGAGGCACTCGCATCGGCATCGAGCCCTCGATCAGGTATCTGGGGCTCGTACTCGATGGCCGATGGGACTTCGGATATCATTTCCGAGGTCTGGTCCCCAAGTTGGTTGGGGCAGCGCGTGCGTTGGCGCGGCTGCTGCCCAACATGAAGGGACCCGATGACTCCTGCAGGAGACTCTACTCGGGGGTTGTGCGGTCCATGGCCCTTTACGGGTGCCCGGTATGGGCGGGGGCCCTGAAGGCCACCGCAGCGAATGCTGGCCATCAGGATCATAAGGGGGTACCGCACGATCTCCTTTGAGGCAGCGAGTCTCCTGGCCGGAACTCCACCGTGGGACCTGGAGGCGCAGGAGTTGGGTCGATGCCCCGAGATTCGAGAAATCGATGACCGGAAATCCCAACTCCGCCAGGTCATCATAGGGGAGTGGAGGGAACGACTCGGGCAACCGAGCGCTGGGCACGCCGTCATTGCGGCGGTAAGACCCGTTATGGAGGATTGGCTCGAGAGGCGTCACGGGACCCTCTCATACCGATTGACGCAGGTGATCACTGGGAAGGGATGTTTCGGAGATCACCTGTGTCTGATCCGCAAGGAGCCAACGCCTGAGTGCCACCACTGCGATGGCCAGACCGTGGACACGGCTCTCCACACGCTGGCAGAGTGCCCGGCGTGGGTTGAGCAGAGGCGAGACCTCGTGGCGGCCATCGGAGTGGGAGTTCTCTCGCTCGATAGCCTGATTGCGGCTATCGTGCGGAGCGAGAGTGCGTGGAACTCTGCCGTCTCCTTCTGCGAGCAAGTTATGCTCGCGAAGGAGACGGCGGAGCGGGACCGGGAGAGGTTTAGAACTCTCCCGGCCCGCCAGGCCCGGGCACGGGCCAGGCAGCGCAGGCGACTCAGGCGCCGGAGGTCGCAGAACGACCTCCGTCCTCCATAAGCGCAGGCCTGGGGGTGACAGGTGAGGCCATCTGTCACCCTAGCAGAAGCAGGCCGGGGTGGCGACGAGCGCGTTGCGAAGCGCGCTCGCGTTGCGAAGCGCGCTCGCGTTGCGAAGCGCGCTCGCTTCCAGGGAGCACAGGGAACATGGGGTTTCCACACGGGGCGGGGGTCGTCTACTCGTCTGTAGATGACCCGAGGTATGTCGGGGCACCAGGGCCTTCCTTTCTAGGGTATACCTGGTTCCCCGGCTATTAGTACCCGGCGAAGGCGTGCGGTTTTAGTCGGTTCGAGTCCGACATGCCACCGACAGGTGGTACCCGAGGGGATTTCCGCACGGAAAAAAAAAAAAAAAAAAAAAAAAAAAGGTTACCATAGCACCGGCTCTGCCTAGTTTGGGATCAGACGGCCGTGTGTGAGATGTGTGAGGTATATTATTATTATTATTATGTTTATCAGAAGTCTAGTTACCATGTGTGTAAGATATGTGAGGTTAATATTACATCAAAAAAGAAATAGATACAAATAAAAATAAAAACAAAACTTCTTAAAACAATATCTTTTTAGGACATTAACCTTGACTCCTGGCAAGATGAAGACAACAGAAGTGGCAGCAGCCCCCAAACTACCAGATGTTCGGGCTTGCTGCGTCAATGGTGGAGTCAACCACTATGGCTGCGTGGACAAGCTCTGCGATCCCACTAAGACATTCGATATCGCAGTAAGTGAACTGTAATAGATGTGTATCATCAATACTTAAGTGTCTTCAGCATTCACATGTTCACAGGTTCGAAGATCATTTATTGAATAATTGGGTATGCACAAAAGTTACGCATTACATGAAGTTTTTTTTTATCGTACATAATAATTTGTAAAGGATGTTATAGAACTAGTTGCTGACCCGGCAAACGTTGTTTTGCCAAAAAAAAATATTTAGGGGTATGAACGATTCTCAGACCTACCCGATATGAATACAAAATTTCATAAAAATCGGTCCGTCCGTTTCAGAGAAGTTTGGTAACAAACACCGCGATACGAAAATTTTATATATTAGATATGGTCATATGTTTCATATTGCCTGGTCCTTGACAATATTTAAATTTTCTGGATACTTTCAACATTACCACGGTTTTTGACGCGTAACGTATTTTCTCGTGCAATCCGTGGGAATCTCTCTCTCTCTCTTCCCGACTATTCGTCCCACATGGTGGCAGAGTCAACCCTCCTTCGTGTACTTCTTCCACTTCGCTCTGTCCCTGAAGTCGTCTTCGACACATTACATGCCTTCATGTCTCTCCGAATAAAAAACAATAATATAATATTAAACATATTAATCTCTGTAATCTATGAAGGCTGTTTAAATGCGCGCTATTTTTGTAGATGAGACGTCGGATGTTGGACATCATGTAAACCTATTTTACGGCTTACTCATTGCTTTTTTTATCAGATTACTCATCAAAATTTCATTACGCTTTTTTGGAAACCTCTCACACTCTTTAAAAGTATTTTAATACCTAATATAAATATGTCCGCTTGGTGACGTATTAAGAATACAGAGTGCACCACACTTATTCATCCCATGGGTGTCGTAAGAGCCGACTAATTAAGCTAACTATGCAGAAACATAGGACTACAAAGAGAAGGAAAGCTTGACACACCAACCCGTCTGGCCAGCTTGGTATAGTAGGCCAAAACCTCCTTTCTAAGGAGAGGCCTATGTCCAGCAGTAGACAGTTAAAGGCTGTTAATGATGATGATAATTGATGAATATATTATTAGACTAGATAGCTCAGCGTTTTGATAATTGCCTTCAAATGATACATCGACCTCTTCACTGCTATATTATTGAACATCATCATGTATGCAAAAGGCACCAAAGCAATAACCCAACATTGGCACCACCACTATTCATCCCACGAACACGTATGTCACTAACGGCACCATCACCCATGGAATCCTGTTTAACCCTCAGCTGCAGGTGACAGATCTGATGATATGCGCGCCCTGGGCTGGAGTCACATTTGGCTGTCTCGCGAATGGCATGGACCACACACCGTGCTGCCGGACCAGAGGACTGCCTGAATCTTGCCTGCCTCTTTGTAGTGGAAATATTACAACGCTGGACTTCAATCATTTCAAGTGAGTCACTATTAATAATTAGGGTGACGATATTGTGTTTATTTGTGTGAAATTAAAAAGTTAATGTGTACAGACAGAAATATGACAGAGCTGCGCTTGCGCCAATATAATTTTTCCATCCATCGGACGCAGGTTTTTGTTTTATAAAAATATCCTATATAATTTGCTGAACCAATTTTGATTACGGATATGTGGTTGGTTTTGTCTTATTACACATGTTTTTTATTTTATGGAAAAGAGGCAAACGAGCAGACGGGTCACCTGATGGAAAGCGACTACCGCCGCCCATGAACGCTTGCGATTCAGAAGTCACAAGCGCGTTCCAGCCTTTGAGGAAGGAGTACACTCTTTTTTTGAAGGTTTGAGGGTCGTATTGGTCCGGAAATACCACAGCCGATAACTTGTTCCACAGATTGGAAATGTCACTGGGTATAGTGTCCAAGTTCTTAACGATCGAAACATATACAACTATCATGTTATTTACTTACGTTTTTAACATAGCCTAGTATTTTATTTTATTATTTCTTGTTGGACAACTTTTCATATCTCTCTTTCGTTACAAAATCTTATCTATCAAAAAAAAAGAAACATAATGGCTGTTTAAAAAGAACAATTAATTATTTGTATCCTACCTACCTCCGTGTGGTGACGGATTAAGAATACACAGTGTCACCACCCCAATTTATCCCGTGGGGTCGTAAGAGCCGACTAAGGGAGCAAACTACGCCGGACAACAGCACTACAGAGAGAAGGAAAACTTGACACAAAACCTTATACCAACCCGTCTGGCCAGCGTGATATAGTAGGCCAAAACTTCCTCTCTAAAGAGAGGCCTATGTCCACCAGTGGACTAGTGAAGGCTGTTGATAATGATGATGATCCTACAAATCATTCTCAAGTTTTTCGCTTAGGTACTATTGGCTTAATAAAAACAGTATTTAATTTATTATACAGGTGTTACTTGCG